AGTAGCGAGGAAGAGAGTTAGAAACGAGAAGAGTAAACAAGAGAAGAGAAACATCGGGTCTAGTAGAGTCTTGGAGAGTAGAGAAGACAGGGCTGCTTTGTTTTTGTGAATCCGGTGGTTGCTTAGTGCAGTCTTTCTCAATGGGTGTTTAGACATTCCCGCTGATGAAACTTGCCACTGAGGTGCAGCAATCGACTGAGCCAACTGGAGCGAGAGCTGGGGAGCTGGGAAAAGGCCGCTATGGTGGTTTCAACAGACAATCTTAGATGTCGGAGCCAGCAGATCTTCCATGGGTCCTGCACCTGTGCAGAGCTGCGTAGGGACGACAAAACTTCTATGCAAACCCTATACAAACCCTATACAACCCCAAATGTAGCGTAAACAACCCCTGAAGAAACCTGAGACAACGCCCAAACACATCCTGAGCAGACCCTGAAGAACCCTTAAACAACCATCAAAAAAACCCAAGCACACCCTAAACATACCCAAAATGAACCCTACTAAAGAACCACCAGAAAAACCCTAGGCCTTCCATGAACAATCGCTAAGAATTTTCTAAGCAAACCTCAAAGAGCCCCGCAGTAAAGATAAAGAACCCCTAAGCAAAACGGATAGTCTTCCATCTGGACTGCAATAATTATCAACAGCTTGGCATTGATTTTAACATTCTGATCTTGCATGCAATAGCCGCATGAGGGGCAAACACACCCACAGCTAGAAGTGCAAGCACAATGACAACTCGACAACTAAAACAACCGCCCGAACATCATTCCAATCATTCCCATCATGAACACCATCAAGAGAGACAATAAAAACAAGAGGAAGCAGAAGCAACATAGTGAAACAACAATAAGACCATAGACAGCTGTGAAATATAGCCATGTTGGTTGGTAATTATAGATTATCCTCCGGTAAACTAACAGTTTGCTATTGAAAATGGCCATTTAGTTTGTTGATTTACCAATTTAACGTGGTGATTTCCCATAGTTATGTAACAGTTTACCAGAGGGTAGTTCGGGGATTGTAAAAAAAATCGTTGGGGAATGGTCAGAAATGTGACACAGAATGGAACCCCGGCAGTTGGGTCGCGAAGAGCCCGGTGTTGAGCAAGTCCCCAATGGCCCAAAGCTCTCAAAAGTTGGAATGGTCTCAAACTTTTGGGTAGAAACAGTGTGACTATTTCCCATGCTTTCCAGGAATCACAGAATTTTCGAGGCATGTCTTCTCCCAAAACCAAAAAGGACAACTGAACAATGTCAAACAACATGTTGGCTTCTGCAACATTTGCCATGTTAAAGCCTTGAAAAGCATACAGCAGTGCGGTCGTTCCACAGCCCCACGAGTTCAGGCCCTTTGCAGGCCATAGTTATCATAGTCGCGAGGTGGTGCCCCAGCTCGTTAGTTAAATTGGTGAACATAACTCCAATTTCACTTTGGTCTAGAGTAGATATATGTTATACTTACTGATTGGTGAACATAACTTCAATTTTGATTGTTTTTTTTGTAGATATATGTTATACTTACTGATTGGTAAAGGTAAACATAGCTCCAATTTCACTTGGATATTTGTTGTAGATAAATGACATATGTTATACTTACTGATTGGCGAACATAACTCCACTTTCACTTGGGTATTTTTTGTAGATATATGTTATACTTACTGATTGGTGAACATAACTCCAATTTCAATTGGGTATTTTTGTACATACAGTATATGTTATACGTACTGATTGGTGAACATAACTCCAATTTTATCTTACTTGTTTTATTTTCGAAGATACATGTTATAGTTACTGATTGGTGAACATAACTCCAAATTCACTCCGGTTTAGGGTAGATATATTTATACTTACTGATTGGTGAACATAGCTCCAATTTCACTTGGGTTTAGAGTAGATATATGTTATACTTTCTGATTGGTGAGCATAACTCCAATTTCACGTTTTTTTTTTTTTTTGTAAATATATGTTATACTTACTAATTGGTGAACATAGCTCCAATTTCACTTGGGTATTTCTTGTAGATATATGTTATACTTACTGATTGGTGAGCAACACTTAATTTGATTGTTTTTTGGTGGATATATGTTATGCTTACTGATTGGTGAACATAACTTCAATTTTGATTGTTATATATATATATTATACTTACTGATTGGTGAACATAACTTCCATTTTGATTGTTTTTTTGTAGATATATGTTATACTTACTGATTGGTAAACATAGCTCCAATTTCACTTGGGTATTTGTTGTAGATAAATGGCATATGTTATACTTACTGATTGGTGAACATAACTCCACTTTTACTTGGGTATTTTTTGTAGATATATGTTATACTTTCTGATTGGTGAGCATAACTCCAATTTCACGTTTTTTTTTTGGTAAATATATGTTATACTTACTAATTGGTGAACATAGCTCCAATTTCACTTGGGTATTTTTTGTAGATATACGTTATACTTACTGATTGGTGAACATAACTCCAATTTCACTTGGGTATTTTTTTGTAGATATATGCTATACTTACTGATTGGTGAACATAGCTCCAATTTCACTTGGGTATTTTTTGTAGATATATGTTATACAAACTGATTGGTGAACATAACCCCAATTTCACTTGGGTATTTTTTTGTAGATATATGCTATACTTACTGATTGGTGAACATAACTCCAATTTCACTTGGGTTTAGAGTAGATATATGTTATACAAACTGATTGGTGAACATAACCCCAATTTCACTTGGGTTTAGAGTAGATATATGTTATACAAACTGATTGGTGAACATAACTCCAATTTCAACTTGGGTTTAGAGTAGATAGATAGATAGATATATATATGTCTGTGTTATCCTTGATAGGGGTTATAAAGCAACATACCTGGTGCACCAACTCACAGCACTGCAAATTGTGGCTCGAGATGGCGGCAGGGTGCTGCTGCGCCAGGCTGGGTGGTTCCATGACTGGATCCGGGGGTACCCCCAGGGCTTCGTAAAGCTCCAGTTGGACACGAGCCATGGCAGGGTTGATGATTAGTTCGGGGATGATACTACCCAATGGGGATTACTTAAAAATCCAGGAACGGGGAATCCCGAAAAAAAACAACCAGGATTCAATGGAATGATAGAAGGATTTTGAACACTGCTCACTTATTACTCGAAACCGTTGACTATGAGCTCTTGGATGCAGGCATAATTCGCATGAAACCCTTAGATGGGTTTTTCCTGCTATCCAATTGGATGGTCCCCAATTGAAACCGTGAAACAGAAGAGTGCACCTCCATGACTGAAGCCGGGTGAACAGTTATCCACCTAGACACTCGACAAACCCACTAAGATCTTTGTTTCGACCGCATGTTTGACTTTTGTAGCATTTGTTATCCCTCACGTGTTCCATGGTGCTGGGATATTTACCAACATTGACCCCAAAAATGACCCAAATGTAGGTGTATATGTATATATATATATATATATATATATGTAAATATGTATATATGTTAAATAAATAAATAAATAAATATATAAATAAATATATAAACAAATGAATAAATAAACAAATAAATAAATAAATATACATAATATGTACAGATACCAGTATCATGGAACATATGGAATGATACAAACTCAATGGTACCTGGGTTTTCAGCCGATGTTGGACCTGGCAGGAAGGGTACCTTTTTTGGGATGTAATGGGCTCAACAAACATCACTAAAACGCCTTAAAATAAGGTCCCATCGACGGCCTCGCCACAAAACCGCCTGTTCTCACTGGAATCATGGTGAAAATAAGCTAAGGGAAATCATCCCCAAATGACCTCAATTCAGGTTAGAGAAATATTATCACTTACCCAGTTTAAATGAGAACTCCTGGTGAACTACTTAAAGCGATAATGCAATTTTGATGTAAAGCGATATAGCGAACTACATAGCGAGAACTTTTGCATCATGACCGCCTTTGTGACCCTTAGTCTTGATCCCTTCTCAAATGTTGTTGCATCTGAAGGCATTTGACTATTTTTGATTCGAATTGTCGTCATGCTTGTGATAAGAATAAACGTCTCGTTCCCGAGTGGTTGGGACTCTGTCGCTCCCCGAACACTACAAAGTTGGGGACTTGAAACTTCAGGCGCAAAGATCTCTCGGAAAGGGGTTCCTTGGCGGTGGAAATGTCCTGACTAACCCAATGGAGTCTTTGCAAGCTGCAGGAATACAAGAAGGAGATTGCCTGACTGCTGTGGTGCAACAACCAAAAATGACTGCAACAGAACAGGCATTCGTTGTATGGTGTTGCGGAGGGAACAAGGTAGTTTCTGGGCTTCAGATTCTGGTGGTGACTGCTCGACAGTTCAAGATCAGCTGAAAAATGTGCAGCAAAATCAGCAAATTCTGGCGGTGGAACTGTTCATCTTCATGGAAAACGTGTGTGTGTGTGTGTGTGTGCGCGCGTGCGTTTACTTGGAGGGGCAGTATAGTTTCATCAATAAGTGGTTGTGAAAAATCATAATTAATGATAGGGTTATTGTTTTTTTTTTGTAACATGTTAGTTTTCGGGAGAGTACCGATTGCACCCCAAGTAGGTGCCTGCATGAACCTTTGGTTGACTTGTTGTCATGGGTTAGTCGGGTAGTCGTGTTGTCCCTCAAAATTAACTATATCCACAACGAATCCCTTCCCCCTAATATTAAACACCCCCTAAACGAGACCATGTTTTTTTGTTGGGAATTTCCACATTCCATTGGGACCATGCAATTGGGGTGTGCCAAATTTGAATGGGTGATGGGATTATTAACATCCCAATTGCCCCCCCCCAGTTATAAGTTGGTTTATGAACCAGTATAACCCCCATTATCTATAGTTATATCTATATACCATAAACCATACTTAAACCATCATGACTATTAACATCCCAAACGTGGGGGTAAAAAAAACATCCCATGCCGCCACTCTTGGGGATGATTCACCCAACAGCCCCTGGTCAACCAGCAGCCAGCAACTCGCCTTTCAGGGGGCCATGCTGCAGAAGGCCGCCGGTATGATCAGGTGGTTTCATGTATGTCCCAAAAAGGAGACAAGAACATGTGGGATAGGCCTAAAATCAAGTGGGGGCCGATAGGCCTAACAAAACGTCTCCGATTTTTATTGATCAAAACCTCAGTGGGAATAGGCCATGGGGAAAAACTTCCGAATCCAACACCACGAATCAGCGACCAGATTTCTCAAATCAGCGACCAGATTTCAACCAGAGACCGGGGTGATGCGGAACCGGATTCTGGAACGTGTACACCGTGTCGCTGTAGCAATTTTTCAAGTTGCCAACATGGCTTCTATGCGGAGGTGTTGAGTCGGTGAACCATGGTGAACCCTTGTGATTCTGGAACCCTGCCATCTAAATGGAATGCGTTTTTGATGATTCTCCGCATGTTTTTTTCCGTTTATAGTGCAAGGTGGCCCCTCCTAGTTATATGTTGGTTTATAACAATTAAACACCGCCATCAAACATCATAGCCATATCAGTATCTACCAACCATCGTAGGAAGAAGGTGCCCCCCGAGTTAATAAATGGGTTATAATATGTTATAATCCCATTAACTAGTTCGATATATCACCTATAGACCATAGTTATTGGACTTATGTTCACCAACTTAGCTAACGAACTGGGCAAGGCCTTGCACGAGAAGGAGCCCCGCTTGGTGCATTCCGAGTCCAATGAGCTGGGGCCTCAGGGGGGATACCGTACTCTATACCTGTAAAATCCTTTAAATATGAACACAATATGAAGATGTACAGTATATATATATAATTATACATATATATATTATATATATATATACATATACTATACATAGATATGTAATTATGTTTGGCTGCTTTCCGAAAAACTGATGATGCCTTCGAAATGGCTGGTGGCTTCCAAAATGATGCCGAAAAGTTCACAAAAGGCGGATATTTGGCCGTTCCAGTATTGACAGGGTAGCGATTGGCAGTTTTCTGTTATGTAAAAACGATAAAAAGACCAGAGATTTCAGGATGGATTTGGGCAATGTGAGAAACTCGTCAGGGCTTTTGGGATACGAAAACTGGACGTAGACGTTGCAGGTGGTGCGAATTCCAGGGAAAGTCCATTTGCAGGTGGTCCACCGTTGGTATGAAAAATACATATCATATCTATTGATATGTTTGTGTATATAGTCTAGTTGTTATGTATATATTGTATATGTATATATATATATATATATTATATATATATATATCTCCACTATAACACTATAACTGGTTCGCTTTTGGTATTCGCTTGTGGTTTTACTGGGTCCACGGCTTCAACTGCGGCGCCATGGCACGCCGCAGTTGAGGGATGCTGACAGCTCCTGGTAGGTGCAAGGTGGCCCCTCCTAGTTATATGTTGGTTTATAACAATTAAACACCGCCATCAAACATCATAGCCATATCAGTATCTACCAACCATCGTAGGAAGAAGGTGCCCCCCGAGTTATAAATGGGTTGTAATCCCATTAACTAGTTCGATATATCACCTATAGACCATAGTTATTGGCCTTATAAACCAACTTAGCTAACTATGGGCACCACCGTGTGGGAAGAAGGAAGAAGAAGGAAGAAAAAGTAGGAAGAAGAGGCAGGAAGAAGAAGGAAAAAGAAACCATGAGCAAGAATAGTAAGAAGGACGAGAGGGAAAGAGAGAAGGGTCCGTCACAATGATGACCCTGATCCACTCAGCCTAGGTCTCTTTTTCAGGAATTGCAGCAGGTGCCTGCTGCAGGGGTCGCATCCATAACGGGAAGAACGCTGGGGCCTCATTTTGCCATTGGAAAAAAGTACACTGAGGACAGCTCAAGCAGAATCTTGAAATATAGAAAGGCCCTTTGAAAGACATGGATTTTTCCCAAAATTACAATCCCTCGAAAATGCATGGTTCTACACTAGAAGTTTCCAGTTCTGTGGTTCTCCGCCCCGTTTCTACAATGGTAGGTACCTTTGAAAAACCTCTGGCAGCTCCATGGGCCGGAAAAGCCTCGATTTCAGAGGATTTCCCCCACCGCTTTTGGCGAGAGCCTGGAGCGACACATCCGATTTCATGGCAGTTCTTTCTGGGAAAACCCATGGGTTTTTGAAGCAATTTTTGGAATGTTTTTGGCTCCTGTGAAAAAGGGTTGTTCTAAAAAGAGTCGACCCCCTTTCCCGTTCCAAAATGTTTCAAACTTTCCGGCTTGCGCAGGTGGTCCAAGCAGAACCTGCGATGGTGTCGAAAGCCATCGCGTCGCGCACCAAAGGTGATAGGACTGGGGAGAGGGGAGCTGCAAGATTGTGCCCCCCAAGTTATGTTGGTTTATAAACCTATGAACATCTATTAACATCCGTTAACATCTATTAACATCTATCAACTTCTATCAACTATAGTAATTACACCCATTAACTATAGTTAGTTCCCCATAAAACCTAGTGAACCCAGTTAATCATTTGCGTCAATTTAGCTTGGGAGTACCACCTTGCGGGAATGGGTGGAAGTTGAGTTGTGGTCAAAAAAGTGTGCGATACTTAACTAAGTTGGATTACATTCAGCCAGATTGGCGGGTGGGAATAATCAATCCATCAATTTTCATAAGGGATTCACAGAAATCATTTGTTTTGATTTCCGTTATGGATGACCGCAATCCACATACTGTATGTTTTGATGAATATTTTTCTGTACAAGAAGTACACGCCTTGTGGTTGCGGCCGAAGAGACTGCCGTTGCTTTCCTTCAGGTTTTAATCATCAAAGGTCTCTATATGGTGGTTGCCTAACACACCGTTGGCCACCCAATCATCCGTTTCTTGATGGATTTTCCATGAAATTTTACCATCCAGCGAGCTTGGGGTACCCCCCCATGACTTTGGAAACCTCCAGTGCCAAGTCAGCTGTGGTAGCGACACCTCTGGTTGATGATTAGTTTGTCATGAACAATAGTGTTTTAACATGTTTTAAGCATCAAACTACGGAGATATATGTGGATATACATCGATAAATGATGGTTGATCGATGGGTGAGCGTGGATTGTACTATCCGGGAACAATATCATCACTATCCGTGAACTGGGAATTTGCCCTACGAACCAACCAGTATTTCATGAAACGACCTTGCGGGTTTTGACCATTCAGAATTCAAGTTGAAACAATCCACCATTTTAGACCGAGGTAGGCCCAGTTTACTACAGATCACTGGGATTGATGTCAACCATGAGATCTACGTGGAACGAATTCACAAAGTGGGTGGGTAGTCAATCCAGAATAAGAGGGTATTGGGTATCCAAATGATAATATCACCAGATAGAGATTGTCACAAAAACACATCTATATGGAGTTTCCCTAAATAGCGGTACCCCCCCGGACCTTCGTTCGTACCCAAAATTTTGGGTACAAATGCTCATTGTACACTTTTTGGTGATTTGTACCTCTTTACGCTGAAACGGTTTGTCTCGTGCAAAAGAAGCAGAATAACATTTTTTTATACTATTAACACAAAAAATGTGCCAAACTCGTGCGCAAAACGGGCGCAAAAACCTGTCAAACGGGCGCAAAAAACATCAAACGGGCGCAAAAACCATCAAACGGGCGCAAACAGCAATTCCTGCCAGGGCATACCGACGATGGGCAGGGCACGCAAACCCAAACGTGCAAATTCGGGCATTTTTAATCACACGTGCAGAAATCCTTCAAACGGGCAAGAATCCAGGTGGGGCAGAATTTTTTGCCCCTTTGAAGATTCAGGTATTGGCCAATAGCTGGATAGTTTACAATGGAAAATCCCAATCTAAAATGGATGATGAACAGGGGTACCTTCATTTTAGGAAACCTCCATATAATTGAAATACCCTCCAGAAAGTGGAAAGCGGCCCATTTGGTTCGATAATCTACCAACTTCAAAGATTCTATTGATATGATCTTACTGTGGTAAGCCCAATCATAAACCTAATTTTTTTTGGGAGTTATACCGGTGATACCTTCCATTTCTTTTGAGCCACTGGGGATAGTTTTTGGGTCTTGGCGGCCATATTGGCTTGACATTTTATGTGGCTTTGTCCGAAAATTGGCTACTCCATTCCATCCACTGGTTTATCATAGTTGCTCATCTCCATGTTCAGTACCCAACATGACCTGCCAAAAAAAACTGCCATGACCTGCCATGACTTGGGGTATACTCCCCATTTTGATCATCCTACAGATCTGTCTCTTAACATCTTTTACCATGGCCATCCATGGCCATCCATGGCCCTTCGCAACGGCCCAAATTGTTCCCTCGGCTCCAGCGTTGGGATCCCATCCGCAGCCGTGGACGGGCCGAAGGCCCAGTGAGTTTTCTCAGTTTTGGTGTGAGGGATCCAGCCCAAAAATCAGTGGAAATCAGTGGATGATCAGTGGATGATCATCATTTTTCCATTTCTTCCCACTTAGTTGGCAACCTTCATTTTTCCAGCTGGATCATTTTTTCTTAATGGCCAATAAATGGCCAACCTTGGCATTTCTTGATGTGTCCCATTTTGGGACCCCTCTGGTAACATAGCTATGGAGAATTGCCCATGACTTGTTCGATTCTTTGCTGGAAAATGGCTACCAGGTCGCGGACGCCATGGCCAGGCTGACAGTTTGATGGGATCTTCCAGAGCTTTGCGAACTGGAAGCCATGGCCCATTTCTAGATAATAAACATGATGATGTATGAAAGACAGTGATTTTCCAGTTCGCTACATTGAATAACCTCCTTGGATAGATGATGGTTCGATGATGGTTCTTGGCCACTTACCTTCAGAATCTGATTCTGAGAAATTCTGAGTACTTGGAAGTGCAGTTCCAGTGAACTGTTTGTGGATATATTTCGCTATAGAGGGGTCCCATATCCCAACATATGGTGGTTTAGAAGTCTATAACCATGCTTAATATATATACTTTCTAATTCCAACTATATTTCTAAATATTTATACCTACTGTATTATTATGGTATTATTATGTACTTGTAAATCAAATTGTTGTAACCAGCTATGCTAATGGCTGCAGGCCCCAGGTGTCGTGCCTGTGCCTCCTCTTAGGGGCTTTGAGTCCAGGCCTAAGATGGACATCTTCGGAATATATATATATACATATATATATATATACATACGTGTATATTATATATGTATATGTATATGTATATGTATATGTATATGTATATGTATATGTATATGTATATGTAAATATATATATGTATACATATGTGTATATATATATATATATTGAGTCATGTGTGTATACACATTGTACAGTATATATATATATACATATGGACGTACACCTTTTAATTTGTTTCGGGAAAAGGCTGAAGCCAAATTCATCTTGGGTTACACGCAACATGTCGGTCAAGACATGTCAAGGCCGGCCACTAAGAAACGTGGCTGGACAAATCCACCATGGCCCCATGGCTGAGGGATTTTCCCAGTTCTCAAGTCCTGCACCGGCCCACTGTTTTTGATCCGGAATCAAATAAACCACGGCAATCCAAAAAAAACACAAGTATCGATCAACAAAAAACCTCAACCTGAAAATTTCCTACCCTGAATCACGACAGCGGATGTTTTCGCAACTTCTTGCATGTCGACTGCACAAAATCCTTGCCCAGGACAAAGCGCGCATTGCGCGTACTTTCATCGTTGCACTAACACACATAGATATAGAAGTATACCCTCTGGTAATTCAACATATCTATTGAACATGGGCATTTATAGTGAATTTACCCATTAAAAATGGTGATTTCCCATAGTTATGTTGGCTTACCATAGGGTACACATTTTTCCACATGTCAGCGAATCAACGTAATGCGTATGACACACATGTGCAGAATTGTGCATACATTTTTCACGTTCAGTTGAATGACCTCATGATGAACGCCCAAGGCACTTGCTTTCTGGTGCCCCCTGCAGCCCAGAGCCGTGGTCTTCGCGGCATTCCTGGCGCATCCGGAAGCAGCGAGCCGTCCCTGAGCAAAGCAAAGCTATAAGCAGTCCCCAAATTTACCATTTTTATGGGTGGCACATACCATCCATCCATATGGGTGGTTTATGACCCTAACTAACCACACACAGACCCCGAGGTTTGCACAAGCCCAGAATAGCATAAATACATGTAAATACCAGGGAATTCTGTATGACGTCAAACAACGGGAAGAATGTTATGTCCAATTATGTTGCTCGGGTGTTAGCCAAAACATGTTGCTTCTACATATCATATAACCAGAACATGTCCCTTCTACATATCATATGGAATTGACATGAATTGACCATACAGTCATTATATAGGGTTTCTTATAGGGTTTCCATAAGATATCAAAATCCCTCGGCGCCATGGAACAATTAGCCATACAGTCATTAGGGTTTCTTATAGGGTTTCAAGAAAATATCAAAATCCACGGGCCCCATGGAACAATTAACCATGCAGTCATTAGGGTTTCTTATAGGGTTTCAAGAAGATATTAAAATCAAAATATCATCATCATCATCATCATCATCATCATCTTCATTATCATCATCGTCATCGTCATCGTCATCGTCATCGTCATCGTCATCGTCATCGCCATCGCCTCGCCATCGCCATCGCCATCGCCATCGCCATCGCCATCGCCATCGTCATCGTCATCGTCATCGTCATCGTCATCGTCATCTTGGCTTGCCCGGACGCTCGTTGCGAGTCTGGGCAAACCTCAGGGTCTTGCCGTAACATTATTATGAAAATCATGGTGGTATTAGATCTAGATTTCAGTTTAGTGCAAAGGATTTAGACGGTCATCTCCGCCCTAGCTTCGGAAGTACGCGAGTTCAAAAGAACCACAATAAACCCCTACTGCAGTTCCAGATATAACCGCAGTTGTAGGGATTATAACTGTTATAGCGCCCAACTTATGAGGTTAACATCCCATGATTATACCTGCGAATAACTCTTATGACCGCAGCATTTTTAGCGTCCCCGGCGCCTTTGTCCAAGGTCGAAGTTGATTGGGGCTGCGCAGGCTGCAAAAACTGTAGGGTTTGTCGGTGACAGCATGGGCCATTTTGTTGGAACATGTCTTGCAGGCCTTGCCATGCCATGCGTAACTTGAGTTCGAGCAGATTTGGATTGCTGTTGCGCTGATTCATTCGCATGAGGAGCGGCCTTGACATGTTGGGATTCCATGTTGACATATGTTGACATTTTGTCTCCAATTCGAAAAAAGACAAAACATGTTGACTGGTTTATTAGCGTCCACTTATCTTCATGAAGGATCAAATCCCCCACCCTCTCTGAACTTCAGTTGACTTCCGGCACGGTCAAACGTAGGGTTTGCAGCGACCATGTTTGATACACTTCCATGGCGTCCAGCAGCGGTCGAGAACAAGCCCAGGAGTTCACCCTGGTACCAAGAGTTCAACACATCATGGCCGAAGATACAGCTATCTGAAGAGGTGAGTGAAAAAACTGACATGGATTTGTTTGAAGATAGGGCAGATACTGTAGCAAATCCTATGTTTGGATAAACAGTCGGATTATATCACGGATTATCATCACTTTCCATTTCTTCTTTTTCTGACCTATTTTCAGACACCAGCAAATATCATGTTGTTAGTCATGTCTCCCATCACATTAAGTTGGTCATATATATCCCGTTCAATCCCATTCAGTCCCATTAAATCCCACTAAATCCGATTGCACTATATGAAAATCCCATTGACTCCTATTTAAAATATTGACATCCCATTAAAACCCCATTGAAATGCCATTGAAACAGGACATCCCATATTTTCAGACCAGCTCCTCAGTGGCCATGCTCCGCCTAACTGCCGGGCTCTGGCGGAACGCGCCGCGGGTGGTGCCGCACGGGCGCAGCTGCCTTCAAGCGCTGATGGCAGTGCGGGCATTTTCGCGGGAACCAGCGGACGGTACCAGAGGTGCCGGAATTTTCAAGATTTTCATTGATAAATCCATGATAAATCCTAAATTAAATGCTTTTAATGGGAAAAAAAGAAGGGATATAAATCATGATCAATCCTCGCCAAATGATAAGTCCTCAATGATAAGTCGAGGTTCTAGTGGGAAAGTACAAATGGACATATATATATATAAATAGGAATACGATAGCCTCCAGATCAGTGTCATCAGTCGGCTGGAATTCCTGGAATGGAGGTTTAGTTCGCAGGGAAAATCAACACTAAATCGGAATAGTAGACCATACCAACTATTGGTTCCAAATAACAATTTAATGGGATTAAATAGGATTTTATGGTGGTTTTAATGGAACTGACCCAAAAAAGCTGGGGATATTCATGAGAATTAAGCTGTAATCAGTCACATGGCTGGACAATCACCCTTGTAGTTCGTTGATTTTCCCAGCTATTTTCAGCTCAATGAGAAAATTCAATTCACAGCTTCCCATGTTTGATGATACCGGAGGCTATAGCAAAAGACAGAGGCTATAGCAGTTTTTGTCTTTTGGATAAGCCGATAAGCACCGCCCATGGAAAAACGAGGATGTCAAATTTGAAATTTGCTTTCGCATCGGTCTTTTTGAGTTCCTTCACCCCAATTTTCTGTGACATTTTCCCTGACAGAATCAAAACCATTGCAATCCCACACTTTTTTTATTGGATCATCCTACAGCCATTTGCTTCTCACTTCGCGCCAGCTCGAAAGCCGTTGCAGCACGACTTGCAAGCCTTTGCGGCGGAACAGCGCTTGCACGACGCCTGGGCTTGGGTGGGTCTGCTGGAAGATCAGATCGAAAAGGCCAAGTATCGTGCGAAGAAGACCCGACGGAAGATGCAGTACGGCAATGACCCGGTGGGGGGTGTGGTTCAGAATGGGCAGTGAAATGGTTGAGTTACAATGAGTTATATATATATATATATATTGTATGTATATATATATATAGAGTGTAGTTGAGAGTAGGAAAGTTGATGAATTCTCATGAATTCTCCATAATTAATCAATTGGCTATCTGCATTTATCTTTCATGTGATGGTTTCTTCACCGGCTGGTTCTTGTTTCCCGTTTCCAGCTGGAGATGGTTTGCCATATGGGGGTTTTCATAAATGGGGTACCCCAATAGCTGGATGGTTTATAATGGAAGATCTTATTAGAATGGATGATTTGGGGGTAGCTCTATTTCAGGAAACCTCCATATAGAGATTGCCATTGGGCCTGCCAAGGATCCCACTGGTGGTAAGCCTGGCGTAAGTCTCCTTAAATGGTGGATTATCCCATTGATACATATCTTAGAAATATGTATATTTAAATGGATATTTTTTTTCCACTTACGAAGCAGTTTCGATTCGAAATGATCCTCCAAGTTTTTTGATCAAAAACATTCCGAAATTGATGGGATCTCCTTTATGATATTCCCAAGATATACATTCCAAGAAAGATTTCCAACGATGGGTTGATAACAAAAACCCGTGCAGGTGGGCCGCAGCAAACGGGAGGAGCAACGCAAGTATTGGGAGGTTCGGCTGGTTTTTTTTGGAATCGCTGTGGCTGGGAAATCCCTTTTCAGTTTTCTATGGAGAATCATCATGGATTTTCCATGGTCACCGGTAGAGACAGATACCCTCTGGTAAACTAACATAGCTATTGAACATGGCCATTTATAGTGGATTTTCCCATTAAACATGGTGATTTTCCATAGTTATGTTAAATTACCAGAGGGTCATGCGGCATGGCTGCATGGTGCTGCTCACCACTGTCGGAATCTTTCGACTAGAGGAAGCCATTGTTTCTAATGGCATAACATCTGGGTAAATTATAACGACCTCACTACGACCTCACTGGAAATCATGTTTAGTAAGGGAAATCATGCCCAAATGGCCTTAATTCAGGTTAGTGAAATATTATAATTTACCCAGATAACATTTATTTTCCATCCTTTGGCAGAAATGGATTCCATGGATTTCTGGCTTGCAGGAGCAAGCACAAAGATGAGAGGCGATACTTTCGCCCGGCCTATGGCTGGATGGCACGACATGGATGAAGTGAAACTTATTGACCACCTCTTTCAGATTGGTGAGTCAATCAATCATTATTTATGTATGTATATATAACTATATAATTATATATAATTATGTGTGTATATATATATACATATAATTATATATATAATTATATATATACACATATGTATCGGTTTCAATTCATGTCCTTCTATTGGTACATAAAAGGATTGTTTTCCTCGGGGCTTGAAGCTAAACTTCATATAGACAACACTTGTTTCACTGGTCAACAGGAAACTCCCAACTGCCTTCCATTTTGATGACAATGCCAGCGGATGAAACAAGGGAAAGATCCTCAAAAAAGGATGAACTGTCTTGTAGATAAAGTGGAACCCCTGCAATGAAGCAATCTTGGGGTTTATCATTCCTGGGAACTCGTGACAATATTGGGAATAAAAAAGGATCTACAATGGAGGTACGTTAGTACCATTTTGCAGGCCATATTTTGTGGGTATATTCCCTGAAATTAAGGCCTGAAAAATAGGCCTTATATATGGTAGGTACCATCAATGTAGGTTCCTGAAATGGCCATTGATGACAAGGCTGTGAAGTAGACGCCCACTGCGAAGTTTCACTCTGTGCGGCCGAAAGGACCATGATTTCTCCCTCTGGCCTCGCCGTGAAAAGGAGGAAGCCTCGCGAATCGGGGGCGCCGATCGGTGCCCGAAAAGCAATAGGTTTGTTAAATTGTTGAGATACTTCTGGATACATGTACATATTATATACATTATATTACACGTTTCGTATGTAAAAGAAGCTTCGATAATCATATTATCAGTATATCTGATGATGTATTGTAGACTGCTCTTTGCATAGGTTTTGTTTCATCTGTGATACTTTAAACAGATTGTAGATGAGCAACATCCGTATGCTGGGGATGCGTCTATAAATCTGTACGACACATACGTGCACCTATACGATACACTTCTGTATGCAATATGATGATGACGCATTCTATTTCATATTTATTTCATATTATTTCATATGTTCATATGTAATTCTATTTCATATGATGCATATGATTACATGATTGTATACGTATGTCACCTCCGGCGACAGAAGGTTTGGAAGATGAGAGTTTTGGAGAGATGTTTCCTGGATCTTCCCTGATATATAGTGATTAACAGCAACTAATAGTGATTAATAGTGGTTAGTCATTCATATGAATGATGAATAATAGTGGTTAATAGTGATTAATAGTCATTCATGTTTAATAAGTGATTACTAGTGGCTAATAATGGTTCGTAAGCATGAAACAGGAGTTTCCATGAATGGGGAATCCCCAAGCTCGCTGGTTGGTTTATATCATGGAAAATCCTACTAAAATGGAAGATGATTTGGGGGTACCCCCATTTCAAGAAACCTCCATATATACCCTCTGGTAAACGAACCGTTTGCTATTGAAAATGGACCATAGAAATAGTTGATGTAGCTATAAAAAAAATGTTTGTTTTTATAGTTATGTTAGTTTACCAGAGGGTAATGGGAAAATTTTCTCCCAAATGTCCTGATATCAAGATTATTTTGGACATCATCTTGGAGTTGGATGAGTTGGGAGGTGGATGTTTTCATATATCTATATATATATATATATCTATATATCTATTAATATTAAGATATATTAAGCATTTTTTTAAATGATATCTCAAAATTTCACAAAGGCTTTGGGTGTTTTTTTTCCGTGTCCGAGGTCTCAGAAGATCCGTGATCTCGTGGCTCAAGGGAAACAGCAGATGTGACACGTCCGACGGTCCGCATGGCGTTGCCGAGGGCGACATCGGCGGTGGCAACTTTGAAGGGTTTTCTCAGTTTACTCTCAACTAAGAAGACAAGATGAACCTAGAGAAATTATGAGAAATTTTTAAAAAATATGAGAAATTATGAGAAATTCAACATGTACTATCATAATCATACACATTTCGTTCTGTGTCTTTCATCAATTTTTGATACCTTGCGGAAGCCGCATCGCCCAGTGTAGGGCATGCAGCACCTGGTGGAGCAAATCGATGCTGTGCGGGAGACGCTTGCAAACTTTCTGTGGGATCACCCTTAATTTTGGTGTCTGTGATGATCACCAAAGCAACAAACTCGAAGTGTAATAGACATTAGTCTGTTATGTGAGATGCCCTCAGGTTTGGTTCCTGGGGTGATATTTTCCTTGTATGGGCGATGCTCGCACGGATTTTTCGCATGACAATTATGCACTTGATGTCTTGATCGCCTTTTCAGTGGAGCTCTTTTTCTCGCCGAACACATGCTGATCTTCCCAGAAAAAGAACCCCCATCCGCCAAAAAAGCGTGTACTGTACAACTCCATCGTTTTTTTTTGGTAGAATGGTTCAGAACCAGCAGGTTTTTGAGAACAGTGTGCAGAAGCAGACAAATGCAGTGGTACTCTTTAGGCTGAATTTCCACTCCAACGCATGCTGGCAATTGTCACTTTATCACTTTGCTCTTGGAATACTTACCATCTGGTTATTTAACATAGCCATGGAAAATCACCATTTTTAATAGGTAAACCATCTATAAATGGGCCATTTCCCATGGCTATGTTAAATAACCAGATGGTACAGAGGAGAGGTCAAAACATAGTGCTGTCCCGGGAGATTTCGAAAAATGGCTGCCAAAACCAGGCACCAAATCCAGGGGAAAACTTCAGATCCCAAAGCTTCAGTACCTAACCCCGATGTCCTGAGGTTGAAATGTGTGGCCAAGTTTGATTAACATTTTCCCTGGGTCACGGCATGTCACGGCTGCATTTTCCATCATTTTCCAACGCCTTGAGGAAACCTTTGGTCCTCAGCAGTTTCTTGAGATCACTTGACGCTCCGCAGCAGATCTTGGCCTTCAAAATCCTAAAAGATCTTCAGGCTGGGGCTTCACAACCTGGGACTTGACGGGATACCTAACTTGACAAAGGGATATCACCAACAAACAGGATATGCCCATGCCGCAGCTTAAGATGTCTGGTGGATGCTTCTTGGGATTTGTTCAAGTCTTTCTATAGTTTCTTTCTGCCCCGAAAAAAGATGGGATTCAGGTAGTTCAGCAATAGCATCCGATTTTTGACCCGATTCCAAAGCATACTCACACGCCGATGAGAGTTGCATCCTAAAAGTCGAATGGTTTGGGAACAGGCACGTGTTTCACCATCCTCTTTCCCACAACCCAGAGCTGGTTTCTGTTGCATTGGTCTGTCTGAAATAGGGGATACCCCAACTATTGCTATTTATATTATGGGGAGAACAATGATAAGCCACACGATTTTTCAGGATTTTTCCCTGAATTTTCAAACCCACATGGCCAGGTGCCAACTGCCATTCAGGCTGGCGGAGATTGGAGGTGTTGCATAGGTGGCCATAGGGCCATGGAGGAGAAACATAGGGAAATCAACCCGTAACTTCGCCAAAATTGGATTTTTTTGAGACCTATTCTGAAGCACATGTTGATTTATCATTGGCTTGAACATTTTTGCTTGAGAGGGAACTTTCACGTCAGTCATGGTTCTCCGCTGAATGTGGGATCCAATCCCCTGCACCGTCCCCTTATGGGGATCCGAAGGAACGTGATACAACCGTGAAAAGAAGTGGGAAAAACGGAAAAAACGGAAGGGAATCTGACGGAAGTATGTCATAAGTATGTCATAAGGCTAATGATCTGATGGTAAAAGGAGCTGCAAGCTCTCAACAAAGTGAAACAAAGTAGAAGCAAGATGAATCAAGTACTGTAGCTGTTTTGTCGTTCAACATGCCCACAACAAAGCTTCTGATTTTTCCGTTTCAACGCGGCTACCCAGGATTTCATGATAGCAGCAGCACCAGCCGAATGTGGCCCCTCTGATTGCCAGTCCAAAATGCTAGTGATCGATATACCAACTGTGCCAACTGGGATCGACTGGAACTATCACCAGCAGCATCAGCATCACCATGACTGTAACCGTTACTGTAACCGTTACTGTAACCATGTCTCGAAGTAAGTGCCTCTATGAATCCCATTCCTGCAATATTAAACACCCTTAATGAATGGTCCCACATATGTGGTTTCCCCTGATTAATCATGGTTTCTTGGGGGTGTTTGATATCAGGAAGATGGGTCCCTGCAATCCAACTGTCGCAGGACTATACCGTGGCCATCAAGAAGTGTGGCACAAGATGGTGGCGAGACGCAGTCTGGCTCTTCGAATCTATGTGTGAAGTGCCTTAATGTAACAGTATCTTCCAGCTTAATCTATGGTACCCTATCTTTTTGTGGCATTTTGTGGCTATGTGACCAGGTTACAGAAATTTTTCCAAGTACTGTAGATGATCTAGGTGTATTTAGGTGTAGGTTTGTCTGACAATTCAAAGGAAAAGCCCGAATTCCACGGAATTATCACGATTTTCACCATAACGCAGGTATAGCCCAATTTCAGACACACTCATGTTTTTCTGTGGGGAATAAAGATGGCCCGTGTGCATAGGAAGAGGGTCAGCCCCTCTGTTTTCAAGGAGGCAAACATTTGCTTCGCCATTCATCCGTAATTTCTGCATACATTTTCCTGTTTGCCCAACTTCACTGATGTCTTTGCACTGATACAACACACTGAGAATTTGCTTGGTTTGATTTTCAAGCATTGATGGTGGAGAAAACGCTATAACTTTGACACTTTTCAGAAGTATGAAGGAGAACTGAGTGCGTTGATCACCAGAAAGTATGCCCAAAAACATGGTTTTGCTTTTCTGCATGGTTTTTTAATGCACTAAACCAACGGTGCAATGGAAACAATAAAAAATCCTCGAGCACATGATGAGATGATGTCCGAGCAAGCTGTGGAGCTGATTGCTGTGGGCAATCAATGTTTGGAGACTTGAAAGAGAGATTTAGATCAGAGATTATTGATCTATATAAATGATCTAATTTTCGGAGATGTTTGTTATATTTAAGAGTATGAAGTATGAAGTAGCTTTGGGTATTTTTGAAGATCGTTCAATTTTGATGGTGACGTATTTCCTTTGCCAGTTTGGTTTCATATACATGAAATTCATTGAACGTGGTAGTTGATACTGGTTGAAATCGCATTTTATTACGTCTGGTAATGAGTCAAAGGTCGTTCTTTCCACCTTTCCACCCAACTCATAGTGTTCTAAGATTCTAAGCCACGATCACCATCTATCATTTCCGAAGTCTAATTATAAAAGATTATAGATAATGATAGTCCCAAAATGTCCTCACATGTTGATAAATCTCATTGGCCCCACATTGAAATTATAAAAAAGATAATGATAGTCCTCAGATGGTGATATTCCTCTCATTGGTTTTACATCAAACATCTCAGGTGTTGATAAATAATTATTTCCGAACTATAATTATAGAATATTATAGATAATGATAGATAGTCCTGAAATGTCCTCAGATGTTTATAGTCCTCTCAATGGTTTTACATCAAAAATGTCAGGTTCCTCCATGTGCCATTTCAGGAACCTACATTGATGGTACCTACCATATATAAGGCCTATATAAGGCCTTAATTTCAGGGAATATCCCAACAAAATATGGCCTGAAAAATGGTAGCGTACCTCCATTTTAGGATCCTTTTTTTATTCCCATTGATAACTATAAATCATATATCAATTTATACCAGATATTACATCACATATTATAAATGGATCCATAAATGGTATAGTTCCCATGTAGGCCGCCTCTGAGCGGTGGACCTAGTGTAGTTCCCAGTCAAAGGTCGTTCTTTCCACTCAACTCAACTCGTGTTCTAAGATTCTAAGCCATGATCACCATCCATCATGTTCATAGATAATTGAGGTTTCCCCATGTGCCATTCCAGGTGTTGATCACTCCGAATGTCATCAGCTGCAATGCAGTCATTGCTGCATGTGGACGAGCGCAGCAGTGGCAACGATCCTTGCAGTTCTTGAGATGTAGCTGGACTGCTGAAAAAGGGTGTAGGTTAATAGTGGTTAATTGTGATTAGTAGTGGTTAATCGTGGTTAGTAGTGGTTAATAGTGATTAATAGTGGTTAATAGTAGTTCATAGTGGTTAATAGTGGTTAATAGGGGTTATATAATCGGGGTTAATAGTGGTTAATAGGGGTTAGTCGGGGTTAATAGTGGTTAATAGTGATTAACAGTGGTTAATAGTGGCTAATAGTGATTAATAGCGGTTAATAGTGGTTAATAGTGGTTACTGTAATAGTGGTTAATAGTGATTAATAGTGGTTAATAGTGATTAATAGTGATTAATAGTGGTTAATAGTGATTAATAGTGGTTAATAGTGATTAATAGTGGTTAATAGTGATTAATAGTGATTGATAGTGGTTAAAAGTAAAAGGGGTTGGTGTGATTAATAGTGGTTAATAGTGGTTAATAGTGGTTATATAATAGTGATTAATAGTGGTTAATCGTGATGAATAGTGGTTAATAGTGGTTAATAGTGATTAATAGTGGTTAATAGTGATTAATAGTGGTTAATAGTGGTTAATAGTGATTAATAGTGATTAATAGTGGTTAATAGTGAATAATAGCGGTTAATAGTGATTAATGGTGGTTAATAGTGACTAATAGTGATTAGTAGTGGTCAATAGTGATTAAGAGTGGTTATATAGTAGTGATTAATAGTGGTTAATAGTGGCTAATAGTGAATAATAGTGGTTAATAGTGATTAATGGTGGTTAATAGTGACTAATAGTGATTGGTAGTGGTCAATAGTGATTAATAGTGGTTATATAATAGTGATTAATAGTGGTTAATAGTGATTAATGGTGGTTAATAGTGACTAATAGTGATTAGTAGTGGTTAATAGTGATTAATAGTGGTTATATAATAGTGATTAATAGTGGTTAATAGTGATTAATAGTTATTAATAGTGGTTAATAGTGATTAATATTGGTTAATAGTGATTAATAGTGGTTGATAGTGGTTAAAAGTAAAAGGGGTTGGTGTGATTAATAGTGGTTAATAGTGACTAATAGTGATTAATAGTGGTTAATAGTGATTCATAGTGGTTAATGGTGGTCAATAGTGATTAATAGTGGTTCATAGGGGTGAACACAGATTTATAGTGATGAAAATAATGGCTAATGATGGTTTATGAGGCTTATCTCATCTCATGAATGTCTAAAACATGGTTCCGCCAATGGCGGATTAACGAGCAACGGGTTACCCTTCTGAAGGGTCTAGACCATTGCCCATTCGTCTTCGCTTAGAACCCCAAGGCAAAATAGACTAATGCATGTGATCCCATGTAAATTCCAGGCGTGTGAAAGAAATCATGTCTGATGATGTCATCGTGATCAAATTGAATCCAATGAATCGTGTGATTCGCGGCGCTGCTTTTGTTTTTCAAAAAATGAGGGTTTCCTAAGTCATGGGGGTACCTGTTCATCATCCATTTGAGATTGGGATTTTCCCATATAAACCATCCTATTTTGGGATAGCCCCATGACTGAAACCTCCATGACTGGGGGCCTTAAAAAAACTTCATTCAACGTCGCCTCAGACACAGACGACTTCGAAGCCAATGTGATCAGCTACAACTCCACGATGACTTCGTTTGCCCGAAGCTGTAGGTGGGACACAGCAACGGATGGGGCCCCCTTAACGCGCTCGCGCTAGCGTTCAGTTGAGATATGGCGGCTGAAAAAACGATGGTTTATGATATAACGAACTAGATAATTATACCTAATTGGGACTTATAAACCAACTTATAACTGGGGGGCCCCATCCTGCAGAGCTGTTGGATTTTGGATGATTTTGGGATACCTTTTTGGACACCCCTGGATATAGTCAGTTGCGACCAGCTCCTGGTTGATCCTAATGGTTCAGTTGAAAAATGGTCCACAGAAAAACGCGCAGTGATTCAACATGACCCAGAAGTGTAATGGTGCAGGTAGTTGAAGGTCTTCATCTCGAAACCATGGACCGTCAAAAAAAACCGTTAACATCATTAAAGACATTTAAAGACAGCGTTGGATCCACATTTGTCAAAATCAATGACATAGTTAAGTGGTCAAGGTGCGAGCCGTGTCACCGTTTTTTTCGCCGGATCCAGCTTGCATGATCCCGACGTTTGGGCAATCGCCATGTTTTAGGTTTCACTGACTAGCTACAGCTAGTTCATTAGGCTGGCTGCGGCGAGTTTCTGCATTCCTGTTGAATTTTCAGATCAGATTACATCAGATTACATGATATTAAACATGATCTTCTGCGAAGTTGTTGGCGCTTCTCATTGTTCGTGTTTTTCTTTTTTAATTATTAATATTTTCCTGGTCACATCAGCCTGATGTTTCCTGAAGCATACTAGATGGCTGGCTTTTTGTCGATGGGTTGGCCCAAGGTGGCGGTTGACTTTGGAGCTCATGAGAGAGTTGAGCTGCAGGCAAAGTCAACCAGATCTCTTCAGCTTCAACAGTAGCTTAGCTGAAACCTGAAACTGAAGCGCTTCTTTTAAAATGGCCAAGCTGTATTTAGGTGTTGTGTCTGACGCTTATTCACAGTACTGGCATATATATATATATGTATATGTATATCTATGTATATCTATGTATACCTATGTATATCTATGTATATCTATGTATATCTATGTATATCTATGTATATCTATGTATATCTATGTATATTATGTATATCTCTGTATATACATCTATGTATATCTATGTATATACATCTATGTATATCTATGTATATACATCTATGTATATCTATGTATATACATCTATGTATATCTATGTATATACATCTATGTATATCTATGTATATCTATGTATATCTTTGTATATCTATGTATATCTATGTATATCTTTGTATATCTATGTATATACATCTATATACATCTATGTATATCTATGTATATCTATGTATATATATATATATATCTATGCTATAGTAATATTATTGTTATTTATTGTTATTGTTACAATTATTATTGTTATTACTGTTATAATTATGTGTGTGTATCTCTCTCTCTATCTCTCTCTTCCTATCTATCTATCTATCTATCTATCTATGTCTGTCTATCTATCTATCTGTCTATCTATCTATCTATCTATCTATCTATCTATCTATCTATCTATCTATCTATCCTATCTATCCTATCTATCCTATCTATCCTATCTATCCTATCTATCCTATCTATCCTATCTATCCTATCTATCATATCTATCATATCTATCATATCTATCATATCTATCCTATCTATCATATCTATCATATCTATCATATCTATCATATCTATCATATCTATCATATCTATCATATCTATCATATCTATCATATCTATCATATCTATCTTATCTATCTTATCTATCTTATCTATCTTATCTATCTTATCTATCTATCTATCTATCTATCTATCTATCTATCTATCTATCTATCTATCTATCTATCTATCTATCTATCTAGCTGTCTAGCTATCTAGCTATCTAGCTATCTAGCTATCTAGCTATTTAGCTATCTAGCTAGGTATCTATCTATCTATCTACCTATCTATCTACCTATCTATCTATCTCTATCTATCTCTATCTATCTCTATCTATCTCTATCTATCTCTATCTATCTCTATCTATCTCTATCTCTATCTCTATCTCTATCTCTATCTCTATCTAATCTAACCTAATCTAATCTAACCTAATCTAATCTTATCTTATCTTATCTTTTCTATCTATCTATCGAATCTATCTATCTATCTATCTATCTCTCTCTCTCTATCTAGATGTATCAGAAGCAATTACATAGTCATACCGCCATGAGATTTCTCACGAAAAAACTGCGGGATTTCAGGTAGCATCACCTCCTGTGAGAAGGCACTTCAGTGGCAGATGGCTCTGGAACTCTTTCAGTCCATCTTGGACCAAAAACTGCTAGCAACTTGGTCCACTGGGTCCAAAGATACTGAGAAAACCATCGCATCGGGCTTCGAGCTTCGGTCTGTGTGAAAATTGGGTATATCCTAATGGGCTTCCGAAGCGGTGGATGGCATGGTGAATTGTGGTCAAACAATGGGGGTGTCCAAATTGGGTCATTGTCATCGTCATCCAGAAGCATTTTTTGACTTTACCCAGAACTGATTGGTGGTTTGGAACATTTTTTATTTTTCCATATATTGGGAATTTCATCATCCCATCTGACTTTGATATTTTTCAGAGGGGTAGGTATACCACCAACCAGAGAAACTGAGGGATATCTATGTATATCTATGTATATCTATGTATATCTATGTACATCTATGTATGTATATCTAAGTTGACTTCTTCGTTGGTGAATTCACCAGCTTTCATGGACACCATGTCTACTTGGCCTCTCGTCAACAAAAAGCGTGACGGCAGAAACCCATGGCTCCAAGGCGGATGTGTTTAGCTACAGTGCCATCATCAGTTCTTGTGAGAAATGCTTTCAGTGGCAGCTGGCGGTGCACTTCTTCCAGCAGATGACGACAAGCAAAGTTGCTGCCAACGACATTGCTTTCAATGCTGTGCTCAGCGCCTGAGATGAACAGGGCATTACCTGGGTAGCCTCTGGTAAACTAAGAGTTTGCGAACTGGACAATCACCATTTTGATAGGTAAATCAACAAATTCAATGGCCTTTTATTCAATAGCTATGTTGATGTACCAGAGGGTCACTGTTGTTTTTTTCCCGGAAAGGTCTTGATGAAGTGGTTTGTTGCGATGATAGAATAGATATGATACTTTCCAATACTTTCCGGAAAGATCGACTGCAGATCGGCTGGGGCTTGGCCCCAGTATGCTGTGATCCACATTTTATCAATTTCAAGCATTGTATATGGAGGTTTCCATAGTCATGTTCGTACCCCAATAGCTTTTCCGATTTACAGTATTTCATGGAAACCCCCAATCTAAAAGGGATGATGATTTGGGGGTATTTTAGGACACCCCCCATATTGTCAACATCCATCATGACTCATAATAGGATCCTGGGTACCTCCTACAAGATGACTGCTCCGAACAATCGCGGCGAGCAGCATCATGGAACGGGGTCTGACAAACTGGTTCATGGCTTTTCCAACCCTTGTTGGTCATACATTTGCCCAGTTTTATCCGTGAAATCCAAGTCTTTTCAGTTTTTTGGGGTTCAATTGGCCAGGCATGTTATCTATTCACCTGTTTTGGTTCACCCAATTGAGTTGTTCTTTTCACCATTTCGCAAATCGTCAACTTCCCCATCATTCATAGTACCCCTATGCAGGTTTCCATAAATGGGGGATCCCCAAAATGGTTGGTTTATTCATGGAAAATCCTACTAAAATTGATGATGATTTGGGGGTACCCCCTGGACTTAAGGAAACCTCCAATTCATTCTGCTTCAGGTGCTTGTGAGAAAGGCAAGCGATGGGAGCTCACCTTGCACCTTTTTCAGCGACATGTCTTTTTCGGGATCCCGAACGGAGTGGCATGTCTCGACACCCCTGTTGAGTAAAAAAAGGGACGATCATTGGGGATTACCTTTCTTGATTATTCGGGATTGCAATCCACTTGGATTTGAATTCTGGAGCATGATATGACCTTTGACATGGGGTTTCATGTCAGATTTTAAGTTGTATTATGGTGTGCTGAAGAGCATGGGAGCTGTTTGGATGTGTTTGGATGCTGGCATTTCCTGCGCAGAGCCACATACCCATGGATGATTTCCCCATCTTTGGTTTCTTGTGCTTCGTTGGATTCAATGATTAATTGGATCCCCAAGAAGATCGAACGTGGGGATTTCCAGGATGTTAGTTCGATGATTTTTCCTTCAACAATTTCCAGGTTCCAACTTTTTGGGTGTCCAGGCCGCAGTCCCGGGGGGTGAAGCCTCCAGCCAATCGTTTCAGTTTATATGGGGGTTTCCGAACATGGGGGGACCCCAATAGCTGGATGGTTGATTTCAGGGAAAATCCCTTTTAAAATGGATGATGAACAGGGGTACCTCAGTTTAGGAAACCACCAATTGGTTGCGTTTCTGATGTTCTTGTGAATCCATTTAGATCCAATGCGTTCTTCGTCCAAGGTCCATGGCTTGCAGCCGAGTGTCACCAGATGTCATCAGCTATAGTGCGGCGATGAGTAGCACAGCTGAATGGTTTTCTGGCTTGTCTTTTTGATGTAGGAACCTCTATCTTGATCCATTTTTCATGAATATTTGGAAATCCCAAATCAGTGGTAAACAAGAAATCATAACAAATCCACTTCGAAAGCTCATCACTTCACCGGACGCCGGACCCTGGACCTCCCTGGGTCAGGTTCCTGTGCTAAGAATCTTCAGTGGCGTCTTGCTTTGCAGCTGTTCTCACAGATGCTCGTCAAATTCGCCAAGGACATCCCTTGGCGATCTCTGTGCGTTATACCCCACGAATCGAAAAAATCAGTGAGTTATACCCCCAGTTATAGGCCCAATTATGGGATGAACAATAGGTTAGATGAATGGATCAAACACACTACGGATCCAATGAATGTGGGGTCCGCACATTGCCAAACTCCGGACATGGCCCTGACTGATGGTGGGGTTGATTTAATGTGACAACTGAAAAAGCAAGAATGAACCTTCCACGTGTTTTTTTTTTTAAATTTGGGAGACCATTTCTGCATACGGAGCCATTGAGTTATATGACATATCCCGTTTTTACCCTCTGGTAAACTTACAAAAAACGAACTGGAAAACCACCACTTTTGATGGGTAAATCAACTATGTCTATGGACCATTTTCAATAGCAAACTGTAAACGTTGCAACTCTCTGCACCGTGAAAGCAACCTGTTGGTCGTGGCCTGGAATGAGGATGTGTGCTGCTCAGCTCTTGCCAGACGTGGCCGCCCGGATGTACTCGGCGTTAGAGTCTATAGCAGATGGAAGGATCTCACATACTTACCCTACAGCAATGAATTACTGTACATATATATATATAATGTGCATACATATATATATATATACATACACGCACACTATATACTTATATATATAGACATACTCATGTACACACACACATATATATATATACATGTATAGAATATTGATATGCAAATATGGTACCCCTTAGCAATTTAGACACCACAACTCCAAGGCCACCCTTCTTTTAGGTGGCCTGTGGTGCAGTTCTGACCTGTGGGAAGTGGCAGAACTCCCTATGGCTCCTGATGCAGATGCCGGAGATGCATCTGGAACCGGACCTCATCTGCTACAGTGCCCCGTGGCAGCCCTGGTGATTTTCATCCCATCTCACAGATGGTCCCAGTCATATGAAAGCTTTCTTAAAGCATGGCTTTGGTGTTGAAGGCCACAAAAAAAGTGAGAGAAACATTCAGATGTTGCGCCATGTCAAAACATGGTAATGTCCAGATAGAGAAAAAAGCGTGCTATGGAAAGATGGAGCACACGGAGTTCCCCGAGATTTTTTCAGCTTTCATGAGCAATGGCAAGCCAGTTGCAGCAGCCAGGGAGTTGGAGCAACCATCACTAGGGGAGCAACAGGAGTATTGGACACCCCGGGTTGAGAAAATATGGATGGCTAAAACAGTGTCATGTTTACCATCCCCCGGTCACCACAAAAAGGTGGTATTTCAACCGTTCCCAGTCATGGGTGGTTTTACTCACATTAGTACTTTTACCTTTTTCTGGTGTTATCCACTATTAACCACTATTAGCCACCATTAACCACTATTAACCACCATTAACCACTATGAACAAAGTCATCGAATATGATTGAAACCTCCATTACCTGTCATAAACCATAGTTAAACCATTGTTTTGCCTAATATACTGGGAAATTGACAATCAAATGGGTTCATTTGTTGCTATGCTGCTGCAATTCTCAGGCTGCTCTCAGCAGCTGTCAAAAGGCATCACGATGGGAGTCTTGATGCGGCGGGGTAGTGGGTTCAGCGGTGAGAAAGGCATGCTATGACCATTTTAGTTAGTAATGGGATATAGTTGTATAGATCTATAGGTAATAGTTATGGTTTATATCCAACTAAATGGAGTTTTCCTGAGTCATCTTGCATCATGCAAGCCATGGATGACCATTTGAGTATTGAAACAACCATGGTGACTTGGGGATCCCCCCTTTGAAAAAAACATATACATAAGAAAGCCATGGCTCTGGGTGGATTTCTGTCCTCATTTCCTGCCAGAAATTGACCAAAAATCAGAAGGCGGAGGTGAACTGCTGCACATCTTTTGTGTAGTTTGACATCTTCAGGGACCCAAACCTTTGCGGTCATGGCATTGTTCAACAACCTGTAGTGTACCACTGGGCACCAGCTACTGCTTCCCAATCTGGGCCGGAGGTTCATCGGGAGTTCCAGGACTTTTTTTTTGGGGACCAAGTCACCGGTTGACTTCACTGGAATTTGAGGACGAAGCCCCAAAAATCATCAAACATCGCTATAAATTGGTGTTTTTCTTCACGATGTTGGGAGTCCAGAACAGTTATATAATGTTATATAACTTTCACAGTTTTCCCCTTTGCTAAGCCGAGGACTTAGCAGGACAGCTATTGACCATCATGATCGAAGCCGCTGTAACACCAGTGACCCGGCTGATCAAAGTGCAGCCCATGACTTCACGGATGACTTCGGTGTCAAATTTCTTTCTGGTTGAAAGAGATACTATTACTATATATAACACAAGCATACTATTTGTTGAAACAGCATTCCGAATGGACCTTTTTTGATTCTTTTTTCTGTAAACATCATCCGTCAAAGTTTGGAGTTCCTCTCTTGTTTTACTGTTCGAGTTTCCCGAACTTGGCTGCCATTCAAAGATTCAGCCGCTGAGGACGAGGGTTGTTTCAACGCCGTAATTGGCTCTTGTGACAACTTCTGAACGTCGCCGAAAGCGCGGGAAAAGCAGGGTTTCTGCTGTGATTTTGGACCGGAATGGTGAACGCAGCATCTGCAGGCTTTTAAGATTGAATTTGACCACAAAACATTTACCATCTGATAAT